TACCATCCATCTCCTACCAAGGTAGGAAGACCCAAAAAATAAAAATTTTCACCACTAATCACTCCATCACCAGTCTTGTCAGAGAATTGCACATATAACAGTTCAGATGCTCCTACAAACTGCAATATCCCTTCCTTCATAGTACAATTCCCACCTCCAGGAATCAAGTCAGGCTAACTGGTTTCCTTGAATCTCTTCACAAATGTTACCTTGTTCACACTCCAACAGGATGCAAAGTCAAAAACTTACCTCCACTTACTCCTAACACACATGCTTGCAGGATGTTTAAGCCCCTCACACACAAAACCTCTTTTACCCTTTCCCCTCCAAACTTTCCTAGGGTGACCCTACTCCACCTTCCTTCCACTACAGATCCAAGTCATCCTACAAAAGATCTGATGAAATCTAAATACCAGACAGTACTATACAGCCTTATACTGACAATGTAGCTCTTCTCCTTCATTAATCCATCTCAATTTAATAACAAGGCAAAACATTAAAACCCACACTTAACAAAATCATTAATTTTGTTTAAAGTTTTACAATATAAATGCAGGACTGAACCTGACAATTACTAAAAATATTAAGTCACTGTATACAGCCTCTCCTCACTTAACAATGGAGTTCTACTCCTAAGACCACATTGGTAAACAAATTTGCTGCTAAGCAAGGAGCATGCTATAATGGCAGTGGGTTTGTTTCAACCATCTTTGATATTATTTTAAAGTCACCTCTGTACCATTTATAACATTTTTAGTACATTTTTAAATGTTTATACAGCAGTGTACTGTATATTGTAATAAACATAATAGAGGAAATCAGCTCTAACATACATAATTTAGGTATGCATACTGGTTAGAGAGCCCATCATAAATCTGAGTCATCAGTAAACAAGTACGTTGCTAAGTGAGGAGAGGCTGTATATATGCAGAACAAACAAAGTGATGAATGGTTTGAAAAACCATTAATTCATCCAAGTTTCTTGTTTTATCTACTGAAAATGGAATTACTACATCCCTATAACATTTGCATTTATGAATTTGGAAAAGGCATATGATAAGGTGGACAGGGAAGCATTGTGGCAGATATTGAAAATGTGTGTAACAGGTGATAAGTTACTGAAAGCAGTGAAGAGTTTTTACGAAGATAGTGAGGCTCAGGCTAAGGTATGTAGAAGAGAGGGAGATTATTTCCCAGTAAAAGTAGACCTTAGACAGGTATGCATGATGTCACCATGGTTGTTCAATATATTTATAGATGGGTTAGTAAGAAGTATATGCTCAGGTGTTGGCAAGAAGTGAAGGATTTAAAATAGAGAATCTAACACAAAGTGGGAATTGTCACAGCTGCTTTTTGCAGATGACAATGTGCTCTTGGGAGATTCTGAAGAAAAGTTGCAGAGACTGGTGAGTGGGGTATGTAAAAGGAGGAAATTAAAAGTGAACATAAAGAGCAAGGTGATGAGGATAACAAAAAATTTAGGTAGTGAAAGACTGGATATCAGATTGGAGGGAAGGATTATGGAGTTATTGAATGTATTCAGGTATTTGGGAGTGGACTTTTCAGCAGATAGGTCTATGAAAGATGAGGCGAATCATAAAACTGTTGAGGAGAAAAAGGCGAGTGGAAAACTGAGGAGTCTGTGGAGACAAAGAACATTATCCATGCAAGCAAAGAGGGGATTGTATGAGAGTATGTGGAGATGTGTGCAGTGTGAATATAATGTAGAGAATCTATAACTTGGAGATTAGGAGGTGCGAGGCTTGTAAGAACATTATCCAGAGGGCAGAGGAGGGGTTGTTGAGATCTTTTGTACACAGAGAGAATAGAAAAAAATAGAATGACTTGGAGGGCATATAAATCTGTAGTGGAAGGAAGGTGGGGGTAGGGGGCTGTCCTATGTAAGGTTGCTGGGAGAGGGAGGGGGGTAGAGGAGGTTTTGTGTGCAAGAGGCTTGGACTTCCAGCAAGCGTGAGTGAGAGTGAGAGAGTGAGTGAGAGAGAGTGAGAGAGGTGAGAGAGAGGAGCATGAGAGAGTGAGAGAGAGCATGAGAGAGTGAGAGAGTGAGAGTGAGTGTGTGAGAGTGAGAGAGTGAGAGTGAGAGTGAGAGTGAGAGAGTGAGAGAGTGAGAGTGAGAGAGTGAGAGAGGAGTGAGGAGTGAGAGAGTGAGTGAGTGAGAGAGTGAGAGAGTGAGAGAGTGAGAGAGAGAGGATGAGAGAGAGAGAGTGAGAGAGAGAGTGAGAGAGAGAGTGAGAGTGAGAGAGAGAGAGATAGTGAGAGTGAGAGTGAGTGAGAGTGAGAGAGAGAGAGAGAGGAGAAGCAAGTAGGGACAAACAGTTTTTATGACTTGATGTGCTGTTGGAATGCGAGCAAAGTAACATTAGTGAAGGGATCCGGGGAAACTGGTTAGCCAGACCCGAGTCCTGGAGGTGGGAAGTACAGTGCCTGCACTCTGAGGAAGGATGTTGATATGTTGCAGATTTTTAAATGTAGTGTAGGTATGTCTGTCTTCAAGAAGGCACTGGACAGGCACCTAAAGTCAGTACCTGACCAGGCGGGCTGTGGTTCGTATGTCAGTTTTATGTGTGGCCAGCAGTAACAGCCTGGTTTATCATATCCAGATCCACTCCTGGTCACAGACCAGGTCATGGGGGTGCTGACCCTTGAAACCCTCTCCAGGCATACTCCAGGTATGCCTCTGGCAATATAATGATGGAGTGAATGATGAGTGTTTTTTCTTTTGTGGGTCACTGCCTTAGTGGGAAATGGCCAGTGTGTTAATAAAAATAATACAAAACAGATACTTCATGTATTGCACTTTATATAACTGGAGTTACACATCACAAAAAAATTCACTCTATATATATGTAACATACCTGTAACCAGTTTAAAGAGCTCTTCTACCCTATTAGCCCATCCTCTTACTGACAGCCATACAGAGATGAATAAAGTTTTCACATTATCTTACCTGTATATACTGTCTTCGTATATTATGTATGAATTATTGCTGGTAAATAACAACCTTAGGACTTTTACTTTAGCACTTAAAATAATAATCTTTAGATGAAATAATCTGTTCATATCTTTGCAAGTATTAAAAATTTGTACCCTTACTTCATATTACACAGTACACAAACATGATCTGAATTGTAAAAGGACACAAGTGCAACTAATGTGACATTTTATTGTGGCAACGTTTTGCTCTCCAGGAGCTTTATCAAGCCATTACAAACAATACATGGACACAGAGGGTATATAAAGGCTCAGAGTGAGGGGCAATACTAGTGAGGTACCATTTCGATGTTCACTAGTGGTGGTAGTAGTAGTAGTAGCAGCAGCAGCAGCAGTAGAGACAAAAGTAATACAATATGGTAGAGCAATTAATTCGTATATGAGTAAAAGGATATAAAAGCTATTTACTCATGTACGAATTAATTGCTCTACCATACTGTATTACTTTTGTCTCTACTACTACTACTACTACTACTACCACTAGTGAACATCGAAATGGTACCTCACTAGTACTGCACCTCACTCTGAGCCTTTATATACCCTCTGTGTCCATGTATTGTTTGTAATGGCTTGATAAAGCTCCTGGAGAGCGAAACGTTGCCACAATAAAATGTCACATTAGTTGCACATGTGTCCTTTTACTTTACATATTGTCGATAATTCTACCAACTTTATTACATGATCTGAATTAAATACATGTATATCTTGGGTTTTACAGTTTAGGAATTTGCAGAAACTATTTACAAAACAGTTATTATAATGAAGTTTAGGTATTTGCAATTATGGTATAATTTAGATATTTGTATATTAGTTCACTCCTTCCATAGTGAGGCAGCCAGTGTGCACAAGTCATAAGGTCAACACATAAAGGAAACTTACTGTGTCATTTAATGCACAAATGTTAATCATATACAGGCCCATAGGAGAGATCATGGTATGCAAGAGGGGAACAGAAGAGGGGTTTAAGAGGAGGGAGGTTTAGGAAGAAAAAAGTAATTTCAGAGTTTCCTATATTTTCTAACTTAATATGTTTGGTTAATCATAGATCATTGCTAATTTTAATGATTAATATGGTGGCAGCAGTGATAACTGAAGAACAGCAGCAGCAACAGCAGATTCAGCAGCAGCAAAATTAACAACTGCAGCAGCAGGCAGTAAATACAGTGGTGGTGGAAGCAGCAGCATCAGCAGCAATGGCCAAATTTCTGCTATTGCTATTATTCCTACTACTCTTCTTTCTACTACTACTACTACTCCTGTACTTCTAATGTTCATCATCCTCCTCCTCTGTGTTGGTACAAGTGCACACGTGTCTTCCTCCATCCACTCAATTTGCCCCTCCTCCCCTCTCCCTCTCTTTTCCCACTACAGCACATGATATTGTGGTACTACAGTATTTGAATATTACTAAACTGCACTAGTGCAATTAAATGTAAAATATGGAATGTGATTTTGGTGGTAAGAACTGGAATATATTTTATTTCCCTCTTAAGCTCACTTTGGCCCAGGAACCTATCCCAATTCTTTCCACCAATTCAACATACAGTATTCATATTTGCAGTTTACATTCATGACATTTTTCTAAGGATTTACACTATTAAGACCAATAACTTATTCTGCTTAAGTACACATTGGTCACTACGGAAATGAAATACAGCAGTGTGTAGCCCAAACATGTAATTTCAATGTGAACATTCTAAAAAGAATGAACAATATATTTTACAGAAACTAGTACATCATTAACATTTGTATATTACAGCACAATCCAGGTAATGTAAATGCTGATATTTTTATATTTTGGTTCTAGAACACTAGCTGCCTTACAAGACTTCAGCAAATTACCTGTGAGGAACCCTATACATCTGCCTAATGATACAAAGAACTTGCTGCCAGTCCTTGAATCACATTAATACCAGTAAATTACACGATTCTGCATTATAAATTTTGTAAAACGTACACAAAAATATATGCAAGAGAGGTAAACTGACCTTTCTTATGGCTCTAATAGCAGCTTTGTGCTGGTTTGTTAACTGAAGCACCCGCGGCTGGTCATCGTCTTCATCTAAAAGAGGAAGCAATAAGTGAATGTGAAAACTCAAATTACTGAATGTTGACATTCAATATTAGTTTAAAAATGTGAGTTTGTAGTAATGTGCAGAGTGATTCAGTGCTACTGAAAACTGCATGTACTAAATACCAGTATCACAACAAGACTTTGGGTGCTACATCCTCATGTTAAAGTGAATTATACTGTAATTGCCTAGAAAAAAAACATAAATGTTGCATAATTCAGAAAAGTGCAAAGTACATTTCTCTAGTGTACACTATTTACTGAACATAAATATACACATATATACACTGTATATGTAATTTTACAATTTATGCCCTGTTGTTTGTAAATCCAATTATCAACATTTCCTTAATCCCTAATATATTATTTTTTGTCCATGCTTTTTAGATTTTGAGTTGCATTGTCCATGCTTTTTACATTCTGAGTTGCATATTCCTTTAAATTGGAATATCATTCATTATAATTAATTGGTGAAAAAGCAATATTTTCTACTAAGGCAAATTGTTCAACTTTTCAACATGTGCATTTACTAGCATTTACTCCTTGAATGCAGTGATGAACTTTTCATTTAGCATCTACTGGATACAGCAATATGCAAAAACTTTATATTTTCATGTGCTGTGCTTTGTAATCCTCATGTGCAAAAAGTTAAATGCAGTGCTTAATAATCCCATGTGCTGTGCTTCATAATCCATTGGTGCTGGGGTTTATATCCATATATGGTGTCTTCCATAATCCACAGGTGTTGTGAATTTTAATTCATAGGAGTTATGTTTCATGATTCATTGGTGCAGTGGTTCTTAATCCATAGGAGTTTTATTTCAAACTGCATAAACTTTGAAACGTGCTGTAAGCTTCAACTTTCAAGTGCTTTGTTTCATTTATTGCTGTTTAGTAAATCTAAGGTGCAGAGTTTTATAATCAAAGCATTTTCTTCATTACCCTTTAATTTAATGCTCTGCAGTTCTTAGATGTGTATCACTGAAATCCTCAGATAAACTATGAAATATATTTGCTATTTACACTGTTAAAGAGCTGCATTAACTTAAGTCAATTAAGTTAACAATCCATGCTTTATACAATTTGCACTGAAAAGGCAAATGTCTACATTGTGTGTGATGGCCACACATATTTACTGATAGCTACTGTCACTCTTACAATAATTAACCTTTGTAAATTCCTTTCCAATTACAGTTCTGCATCTTGGATTTAACATCAAAGTACTGTAATCATAAATAGGTGGATAGCCTCTGACCTCTACTGAATAATCGAGAATGTCGTGGAGAGGAAGGTGGCCCTCCAAACTCCTTTTGCAAAAGGTTAGCAAGTTCTACTGGAAACTGAGTAGGGTCTTGGTCAACTGGAGTAGCATCTGTGGGTGTGCCAGCCTCACTTAGCACCATGGGAGTAAGGAAAGCTGCAGCTGCAAGGCGGAGGTGGACTGAGGGAGGGAAGAATCCTTGGTATCGCATACCTCCATAGCTGGGAAACTGGTGACCAGTTATTGATAAAAATAACCATGTATATGATACCAACAAGTTGAAGAAATGATGTGCAAAAACAACAAAGACATTTACTGGAAATGTTTCATCCTGGAACTTTTTTTTATTACCAGAAAAAAGGTTCAAATACCAAAAGATTTCCCAATGAATGTAAGTGTTGTACAGCCATTTCATTGACCAATTTTTTACCTTAGACTAGAGTTATATTTCATCATGTTTAGGCTCTTTGAAACCATTAATACTGTATGTAATGGTTATGTTAAATTAAGAGAAGGTGTAAAAAAAAAAAAATAAATAAAAAAAATTATGCAATATAAAATTATACCAAAAATATTCAGTAAAGTAGTGAGACTGGCTTTCAAACACATAGTTAACCATTAACAACTACTGTATTAAGTACATACTCACCAGTGTTTTTAATTATTAATTATTATTATTATGATGATGATGAATATTTACTTTAAGCACAGTGTCTACCTACTGAGGCTCGCAGGACCCTATGTCTAGCCCTTATACAATGCCGTATGGATTACCCTTGCTCTTCATGGTACTCTGCCTTGACAAAAAAAACTGAAAGATAGACTGCAAATCACCCAGAACAAAATCGTAAGATTCATCCTGGAGCTGGGACCAAGAGAACATGTAGGCCAGAATGAATTACAGCAGTTGGATATGCTGAATGTTGAAGAGAGTAAAACAACTGAAGCTAAATCATGTTTATAAAATTGCTCACAGTGTCCAGAATATCTTGCTGTCAATTTTGTCAAGGTTAGGAACCAAAGCAATCATAGTACTAGGGGGAGAGAGCACAACTTTGTAGGACTCACAGTCACTGGCCAGGCTTTAAACACCTTTTATTGTACAGCAATAAAGGAATGGAACAGACTACCCGCACATGTCAAAGCCAGTCATAGCATGAACCAGTTCAAGATGAGTGCCAAAAGGTGTCTGATGAATGTAGCTACAGAAAGGGAGGGGAATGATTTTTTTTTTTTTTTAGCTTACATACGTGTAAATTTTACCTTATTCCTAGTAATGACCCTTGTATTGTAGATAGTCTTTTTAGTATGATAATAAGATGTTATCTTCATTATAAAATAATAAGAAAATATTATAACCTTTATATTACAATAATAAGGTAAAAAGGACCCCAATGGAAATAAGTCACTCTGTCTGACTTTTTTGGGTTATCCTAGGTTCTCAACACATATGCTGCTATGTATGATAATTCTATGTAACTGTATTTGTGTATACCTGAATAAACTAACTAACTTACTTACTAACACACCAGCCATCTCCCACTGAGGTAGGGTGACCCAAAGAGAAATCACAATCACCATCTCATTCAATCACTCTTAGTTACCAGTTGTCAAAATCATTTGTCAATGGACACTTGGCTGGTGTGCATGTGTGTTGCCAGAATCTTACCGATATCACAATTCACATGGCTCTCCTAATTGATCACCCCTCCTCCCTTCCTTTCAAGTGTAGGCATTGTACTCATTACCTCCAGGACTCTAGTTTGGATAATGGCTTACCCTGAATTACTTCATGAATATTACCTTGTTCACACTGCAATAGCACATCAAACTGCAAAAACCACTTGCCTCCACTCACTCTGATCTAATGTTGGACCTCCTTCCTTCAACTCTTCCTGGGATAACCTCTACCCCTACTTTCCTCTGCCCCAGATTTGTATACCCTCACAGTTATTCTGTTTTACTTCAGCCCCTCAAAATGCCCAAACCACTTCTACAAACCATGCTCAGCCCTCTGAAGTACACTTTTGGCAATTCCACACCTTCTAATTTCCAGACTCCAAATTTTCTACATAACACTTACACTACACATCATCTTTAAGCATAACATCTTCACTGCCTCCAGCCTCCTCCTCATTGTAATGTCTAAAACCTATATTTCACACTCATATAAGCATTGATATCATTATACTTTGGTATATTTCCCTTTAGGCCTCCATATATACAGTTCTTTGTCTCCACAAATGTCTCAAGGAACCACCCACATTTTTCCCCTTATTTTATCACTGACCTCATCTTTCATTGACCTCATCTGCCAGCAAGTCCACTCAAAAATATCTTAAGACATTTCCTTTCTCCATATTCCCTTTCTCCATTCCAGCATCCAATTTTTCGAAGTCTAGATTTTTTGTCATCTCATCACCTTGCCCTTTCCTATGATCACCTTCATTTTCGTTCTTTTATACACCCTCTGAAATAACTCAGCCAACCCAGAAGCTATTCTTCAAACTCTCCCAATAGAAGTGTCATCAGAAAAGAAAAACTATAACAACTTCCACTTTTTATGCAATTCTTTACCTGTTAATCCCACACCTCTCCCAACACATCAGCATTCACTTCTTTTACAACACCATTTATAAAAGATGAAAGACGATGGTGACATCACACATTCTTGGCTAGGTCAATTTTTAACCCTTTCACTGTTGAGACCCCTGCTCACAAACTTGCTCTCAGTGTCAAAGAATTTATAATGAAAAAAAAAATATGAAATGATAATCTTTTCCCAATGGTAACCGACACCAAAAGTACGAAATTTGATGGAAAATTAACGGAATTATGCTCTTGCGAAGTTAGTGGTATTGGCAATATTTATGCATTGGCAATTTTCCTCACTGAGCCCTATTTTCAGCCAATTCCATTGTTCCAGTCAACCAAATTCATAGCTATTTTACTAGAACTCCTCTTGTTCTATCGACTGAGCTCAAGAAACTGCCCATTTACCAATTTCAACAACCAATAAAGTGATCAGAAATTGGTAACTTGGCCAATTTCATACACAATTCAAGGAAGGCCAATTTCAAAACTGGGTCCAGAATTAAGAATGCAAACATTCCTAGCACTAAAATAACATTTTCTCTGTTCTTCAGTCACGTCTCCAGGCCCCTCTTGCACTACGTTTGCTTTCCATTTTGCATTTTTATTCACACAAAATAGAAGATTTACTGTTATGCAAACTACTGCATTATTGTAAAAATGGCATAAATAATATCAGTTTGTTTGTGAAAGCATATTAGACCAACCAGCTGATGTGTATTGGATGCGTGATATGATTTGTTTACACTTGAACATCGGCAAAAATCGAACATTTCTGCTACTTTGAGCTCAATTTCAAGGTACAGTAGACCGTCATTTATCACAGAAGTTACGTTCCTGAAAATGTCGTGTCAGGTAAAAACCATGCTAGATGAACTGAAGAACTTACGGAAAAATAGGGTTACATTCTTAAAAGCCCCCAAAAAGCCAAACAACTTTTTTTGTAGACCAACAGATCCTACAAAAAATAAAAGTGATTATGTAATTGTAGTTCACTGTCGTGATGTATTAAGTTGTTTTCACTGTTTAAGATTACAAATGCAACAGAAATAATGGTATTTCTTACCTTAAATTGTGGGTGCAGATGTCTGTGGATGATTGTGGAGAGTTATGCTGTGGCCCTACTGGGCTGAGGTGG